AAATGCAGCCATTCACTTAAGAAATAGGTAAGAAAAGTCACCAAGTGGAGCAAAACTCAGTGTCTGATTTAGCAACCGGGCATTGGGGCTCAATTGTGGCTGTAAGTTGAGGACTAATTGTATCCGCATTGGGGAGGCGTTTGCATATCGCAAGCACAAATGCATTTCACCATGCCTGCTTTTCTTAGATTAGGGCAGAGGTCCCCAAACTTGGCAACTTTAAGACACGTGGACTTCAAACTCCTAGAATTCTCCATCCAGCTGGGAGTTGAAGTCCACAAGTCTTAAAGTTTCCAAGTTTTGGGGATCTCTGGATTATGGGAAAGGTTTCAAAGTTAAATATATATTTCCCTGTGTTTCTCCTTGGGGCCCCTGGGCGCAAAGAGACGATGCAGAAGAGGACGGGCTGAAATGTTTGGCCCTGTTTACACACCGGCACACCCGAGACACACACACAGTTGCAGTTGCAAGCCGAAGTTGGCATTTTGACTTTTGGAGGGGGACGTTTCCCCCAGGCAGCCCTAAACATGGGACCGCAGGAAAAGGGATAACTCCGAATGCATCTATTTTCGGTCTGGTTTTAAATTGTTACCTTCCCGCTGCCAACTTTTGCTGGAAGGATTGTTACAGAGCGCTGGCGTTGGGGTTTTTTCTCAAAAAATAAAAACCCCAGGAGTCTGTGGCTTGCTCAGCCCTGCCTTAGGACACCCCAAAAGGGGCAGAAGGATGATTTCATAGCAGTTTGAACCTCTTTGGTTTGGAGGGGCGGGGGAGGAAAACTCCCTGTGATTGAAACCTTTAAAATAAGCCAAAATCTCCTTCCAGATTTAGAAGGAGCCCTCTCTGATTTCTTGGCTCAGCAAGCTGTGAGTTTGGCTCCCACCCTTTGCCCTTTCTCTTGCAAACCTCAGCGTTTTCCACCCCACCTCCATTTTGACCAACCCCACCACCCCCCAAATTTCCTAAACTCCAGCAACAAAGGGGAAAGGAAAACGGACTCTTTCAGCCCTTGAGATCTTCCACAAAAAAAGAAGCAAGAACGTCTCAGAGCAAAGGATCCGCATCGTGTTCGCCTCCCACCCCAAGAGGGTCAGGAAAACAAATGTGATCCCTTAACCCATTTTCTTTTGAGTTAGGGAAAAGAAAAAAGATTCACAAACATCCCCTTATTTTAATTGTTTCTAAGTGAGAAAGTGAGCAAATTGCAGAGGCTCCTTTATGGGCTAAGAGGTTGGCGGGGGAGGAGGGAGGGAGAGAGGGAGGGAAGGAGGGAGGAAGGAAGGAGAAGGAAAGGGAAGGAAGAAGGAAAAAGGGAAGGAGGGAGGGAAGGAGGGAGGAAGGAAAGAGAAGGAAAGGGAGAAGGAAAAAGGGAAGGGAAGGAAGGAGAGGGAATGGGAAGGAAAGGAAGAAGGAAAGAGGGAAGGAGGGAGGAAGGAAAGAGAAGGAAAGGAAGAAGGAAAAAGGGAAGGGAAGGAAGGAGAGGGAATGGGAAGGAAAGGAAGAAGGAAAGAGGGAAGGAGGGAGGAAGGAAGGAAAGAGAAGGAAAGGAAAGGAAGAAGGAAAAAGGGAAGGGAAGGAAGGAGAGGGAATGGGAAGGAAAGGAAGAAGGAAAGAGGGAAGGGAAGGGAGGTACGAAAAGGGAAGGGAGGGCGGGAGGGGAGGAAGGACGGAGGAAGGAAGGAAGGAGAGGGGAAGGGAAAAGAGGTAAGAAGGAAAGAGGGAAGGGAAGGGAGGGAGAGGAGGAAAGGAAGAAAGGAAAGATGGAAGGAAGGAGGGGAGGACAGGGGAAGGGAAGGGATGGGAAGGAAAGGGAGAGGGAAGGAGGGAAAAGAAGGGAAGGAGTAAAGGGAGGGAGAGAGGCAGAGGTGGGTATTCAGCAGGTTCTGACCAGTTCTGGAGAACCGGTAGTAGAAATTTTGCGTAGTTCTGGAGAACTAGCAAATCCCACCTCTGACTGGCCCCGCCCCCTTCTATTCTCCGCCTTCCGAGTCCCAGCTGATTGGCTGGGTCTTCTTTGGTTGCCCTGCACAGGAGAACGGAGCTGGAAAGCAGGCTAGTGGGGGTGGGGAGGGAATGGGGATTTTACAGTAACCTTCCCCCGCCACGCCCACCAAGCCACACCACGCCCACCAAGCCACGCCCACAGAACCTGTTGTAAAAAAAAAACTTGAATCCCACCACTGGAGAGAGGGGAAGGTAAGAAGGGAGAAGGAAAGGAAAGGAAAAAAAAGGAAGGAAGGGAGGGAAGGTGGAATGAAGGAAAGGAGGAGACGGGAATGTAACTTAAGGCAGGTAAGAAGGAAAGGGGGATAGGAAGAGAAGAATTCAGAAGACCAGTATTTAACCTTGACTTGCAAAGCTTCCCCCAACCCAGGGTCTCTTTCTCTGCAAAAGTGTGGTCACCATTGGGTTTTGTTTTTATCTTTTTCCAAATGCATTTTCAAAAATTCACGTTGGCAAACCAGCAGGTGAAAACCCACCCCCCCGAATAAAAACCTTCGACCGCTGCAACAGGCAACGAAGCGCAGCGACGGTGGAAGCAGATATGCCCATTTGCACCGCCCGTCCCGGGGGATGCAGAGGTCGAAGACGCAAGAGAGGAGAGGGAGGGAGAAGGGGGAGGACTCACCAGCTTCCTTTGGAGAGGGCAAGGCCATTTTCAAAAGGTTGCTCGAGGCGGGCAGCCACCCTCCGAGGAGAAGGATTGACCTGAAAGCTACGAAACCGTCTCCGAAGGAAAAAGCTGCAGCCTCTTTCTGATTTTTTTTTTCCTCTTGACAGCGGCAATAAAGAATTAAGCAGCGCGAAGGGAGGAGCGGAACGGGATCCATCAGACCGAATCCAGGAAGAAGACCCCCGCTGCTAAAAAAAAAAGAGGACCTGGCAAATGCACCAGGAGAAAAAAAGATTTGCAGAGAAGATGCCCCGGGGGCACCTGGAGGCTTTTTGTGAGTTGCGTTGGCTCGGAAAGCTTCACAGGGGGTTGTTGAAGATCAGGCAGCTCTGTTGGCAACCTGGAAGGCGTATTAATCTTAGTTAGCTTTGGGGCGGGGGGGCGTACCCTGTGTGGGAATCTTTGCAATTGATCTAGGGCTCAGTGTGGACCTAGACAACCAGGTTAATTCAGGAAGCGAATTCAGCATCTCGTGCGAATGCAGGCCCTAAGCCCGTGATGGAGAACCTATGGCACGCAGGCCACAGGTGGCACGCAAAGACATTTGTGCAGGCACGCGAGCCCCGGTCAAACTTACCTCACTGCGCATGCGCACGCCTCCCAGCTGATTTTCGGCCTGTTTGAGGTCTTTTTTGGCCTCCCAGAGGCTTGAGGGAAGCCTCTGCAGCCTTTGGAGGCCAAAAAAACAGGCCCGTTTTGTCACTTCCGGTATTTCCAGAAATACCGGAAGTGAAAAAACGGGCCCATTTTTTGGCCTCCGAAGGCTGCAGAGGCTTCCCTTGAGCCTCTGGGAGGCCGAAAAAGGCCTCAAACGGGCCGAAAATCAGCTGGGAGGCGCACAGTGCAGGTAAGGGGGCAGCGGGAGGGGGGGGAATTGTGCATGCATGCACAGGAGGCGTGGGGGGCGCGCACACAATGCCTTCTTGGTGCTGGCACATGAGCACACGCAAGCACACACACAATTTTCGGCACAGGAGCCCAAAAATGTTAACCACCACTGCCCTAAGTTCAGATACTATGCTAGCTAGATCTCGAAGAGAAGGACAGGGTGAGTCTGGGGGTGGAGTCAAGAGAGCAATCAGCCTGGAGTCATTACGTTCCCACAAGCGATCCAAGTCCAACCAAGTCTAAGTTTTGGTCACCACACTATAAAAAAGATGTTGAGACTCTAGAAAGAGTGTAGAGAAGAGCAACCAGGATGATTAGGGGACTGGAGTCTAAAACATAGGAAGAACAATTGCAGGAACTGGGCTTGGCTAGTCTAGTGAAGAGAAGAACCAGGGGAGACAGGATAGCAGCCTTCCAATATTTGAGGGGCTGCCACAGAGAGGAGGAAGGGGTCAAGCTATTTTACAAAGACAGAGAATAATGCGTGAAAACTGAATAAGGAGAGATTCAACCTGGAAATAAGGAGAAACTTTCTGACAGTGAGAACAATCAATCAATGGAATAGAAGTTGCCCTCAGAAGTTGTGGGAGCTTCATTACTGGAGGCTTTCAAGAAGACACTGGACTGCCATCTGTCAGAAATGGTTTAGGGTCTCCTGCTTGGGCAGGGGGTTGGACTAGATGACCTACAGGGTCCCTTCCAACTCTGTTAATCTGTTTATCTGTTATCCAACCCCTCGTGAATTCCTTTGACTCTTATCAAGCACTAATTTAGTACTGTTAGTTGACGAGATGTTCATGTATAGACATAAGCAATCTATCAGCTTAACTGGAACTTAACATGTCACTCCAATTCTTCATGCCCGATAGGATCAGCCCTTAAAACCAACGCAAAATGGGAAGTACAGGTAGTCCTTGGCTTACAACAGTTCCTTTAGTGACCGTTCAAAGTTACAACAGCACTGAAAAGAGAGACTTAGAACCATTTTTTCACATTTATGACCATTGCAGCATCCCTCGTGGTCACGTGATCAAAATTAAAAATGTTTGTGAGTGACTCGTATTTATGACGGTTGCAGTGTCCTGGGGTCATGCGTGAGCCCATTTTGTGACTTTCTGTGGTGGTTAGCCGACAGCAGGTGCAGATGGCTGAGGAGAGCGAGGACTCTGATGAAGGGCCAGGACCATCAGGGAGTGGACTGCTGCCTTCAGAGATTGTGGGGGCTGGCAGCAGTGATGAGGAGTTTCCCGAGGAGCCTGTGCCAAGTGCACGTGCACGAAGGATTAATCGCAGAAAAGAACAATTACAGAAGCACAGGCAACTCGGGAGTAAGGCTGCAAGGTAATGGCCCCTCCCTCAAGAGGATACAAGCCAGGTTTGGAAAACCGTTCTTTGCAGACAGCAAAGAAGCTCTGAAACTCAACTGGTGGACATCTTAGTTCATGATTGGAGAATTTTGTAAATTAGTTCTTATCTCTGGGTTTTTGACAGCCTTGACAAACAACTTGGCAAGGCTCTTTCTTGTCGGAGCTAATTAGTGCAAAGCAGTCTTCAGAACATAATTTGTTATTAAACCTTTTAGGTGGGGGCTGCTGCCTTTATCTGTGTTTGTTCTTTGGGAACCCAGTTGGGTCAGAACACCTTCTGACAAGCAAAGTCAATGAGGCAGCCAGATTCACTTAACAACCATGTTACTAACTTAACCCCTGCAGTGATTCACTTAATGTGACAAGAAAGGTCGAATGACTTAACGAATGCCTTACTTTTTGTGCTCAATTGTGGTCATAAATGAAGGACTACTAATCCATCCTGCACAGGGATATCCAACAAGATGGTTGTTAAGTGAACTGTGACTGATTTTACAACCTTGTTTGCTTGTGGGGGTTAGGTGAATCCTTGCCGTTGTTAAGCGAATCAGAAGAACAGAATTGGAAGGGACCCTGGAGATCTTCTAGTCAAGCAGGAGACATGAACTCATTCAGCAAATCTGGCTTCTCCCCATTGGTTTTGCTTGTCGAAAGCCAGCTGGGGAAATCGCAAATGGCAATCCCTTGACCCTGTGCGTTTTGCAAATACGTGCCAGTTGCCAAGCGTCTAAATTGCAATCACATGACTGTGTGGGGAACACAGTAATGGTTGTAAATGCAAGGACCGACCGCAAGTCACTTTTTTTCAGGGCTTGTGATGACCCAAAGGGGCGTGGCACAAAGGCAACACAGTCACATAAGTAAGAAAAGTCCCTTTAATACCTCCAACTTTGCCCCCAATGTCCAGGTTACCTTCGGCTGGAGAAAAAAACTCTCCCAGGAACAGCCTTTAAACGTAGGAAATTCAGTCCGAAAACAAAATACATATAAACTGTAAATAAAAATCCACACAAACTGCCCTGCGGCAATTAACTGGACAGGACAGGAGAAGGAATTGCAGACTTCAAAGGCTAACAAAACACACGCACAGTTGGGAAGACGCCAGGAACCCAGATAAGCCTGACAGAAAAAGATAACTCACGGTTTGCTTCCAGCAACTTTGCTGTGCATAGCTCCCCTTTTTAAACATTGTTTTCCAAGCTGCAGCTAATGCAGGGAATCAGGGCCCTTTCCTTCCCTGTAAGCCATGCAACTCACGTTGCTCCGTTCTCCGTTCCTCCCTGCATGTCTTAGGATGAAGAGAGGGTGGGCCTGGTCTTCCTCTGAATGCCCTCTCCCTTGTTCTACTTCTCCCCTGCTTTGCCCAGCCGGACTGTGCCCCTCCCCCATTTCCTCCACAGCCACCAGAACCACACTCCCACTCCCTGTCAGCTGTTCAACCTCCTCCCTGATTCCAACAGGGGCATGACAGGGCTGTTGTAACTTCAAATGATTGCTAAACACATGATCATAAGCTGAGGATTTACCTGTAGTAAATCCAATCCCCAGAAATAAATTAATCTAATCCTACTTCGACTGGCTGCCCCTCAGGTGCCTCTCGAGTGCTGCCAAGGAAAACAACACACACACACACGCACACACAAATGCCTTTGTTTTGCATCTTTTACAAGCAAAGACCAAAAGCAGCCATATTTTTTTTAGCCCTGCCAGGAGAAAAGTCATTTTGCATCCGCTTTCTAACTGTTTGGGGTTGCAAAAGGAGATTTATTGCCTGAAATAACGGGGACCAGAGGAATTAATTCCCCAGGCAGGCAGAACCCCACCCCCTGGAGAATCTTTCATGGAAAAAAAGAAAGGAAGGAAGGAAGGAAGGAAGGAAGGAAGGAAGGAAGGAAGGAAGGAAGAAAGAAAGAAAGAAAGAAAGAAAGAAAGAAAGAAAGAAAGAAAGAAAGAAAGAAAGAAAGAAAGA